CTGTGAAGTCTATGAAGTCTATGAAGTCTGTGAAGTCTATGAAGTCTGTGAAGTCTGTGAAGTCTATGAAGTCTGTGAAGTCTATGAAGTCTGTGAAGTCTGTGAAGTCTGTGAAGTCTACGAAGTCTGTGAAGTCTGTGAAGTCTATGAAGTCTGTGAAGTCTGTGAAGTCTATGAAGTCTGTGAAGTCTGTGAAGTCTTTGAAGTCTATGAAGTCTGTGAAGTCTGTGAAGTCTGTGAAGTCTGTGAAGTCTGTGAAGTCTACGAAGTCTATGAAGTCTGTGAAGTCTGTGAAGTCTATGAAGTCTATGAAGTCTGTGAAGTCTGTGAAGTCTGTGAAGTCTGTGAAGTCTGTGAAGTCTATGAAGTCTGTGAAGTCTGTGAAGTCTATGAAGTCTGTGAAGTCTGTGAAGTCTATGAAGTCTGTGAAGTCTATGAAGTCTGTGAAGTCTGTGAAGTCCATGAAGTCTGTGAAGTCTATGAAGTCTATGAAGTCTATGAAGTCTATGAAGTCTATGAAGTCCTCTGAGGCATCTGTGCTAAGTCATGAAACTCTACTGTGAGACGGCGGAAGTCTATGAAGTCTGTGAAGTCTGTGAAGTCTATGAAGTCTGTGAAGTCTGTGAAGTCTGTGAAGTCTACAAAGTCTGTGAAGTCTGTGAAGTCTGTGAAGTCTGTGAAGTCTGTGAAGTCTGTGAAGTCTGTGAAGTCTGTGAAGTCTATGAAGTCTGTGAAGTCTATGAAGTCTGTGAAGTCTGTGAAGTTTACGAAGTCTGTGAAGTCTATGAAGTCTGTGAAGTCTATGAAGTCTGTGAAGTCTACGAAGTCTACGAAGTCTGTGAAGTCTATGAAGTCTGTGAAGTCTGTGAAGTCTATGAAGTCTGTGAAGTCTGTGAAGTCTGTGAAGTCTATGAAGTCTGTGAAGTCTATGAAGTCTGTGAAGTCTGTGAAGTCTGTGAAGTCTATGAAGTCTGTGAAGTCTGTGAAGTCTGTGAAGTCTGTGAAGTCTATGAAGTCTGTGAAGTCTGTGAAGTCTGTGAAGTCTATGAAGTCTGTGAAGTCTGTGAAGTCTGTGAAGTCTGTGAAGTCTGTGAAGTCTGTGAAGTCTGTGAAGTCTGTGAAGTCTGTGAAGTCTGTGAAGTCTGTGAAGTCTATGAAGTCTGTGAAGTCTGTGAAGTCTATGAAGTCTGTGAAGTCTGTGAAGTCTATGAAGTCTGTGAAGTCTGTGAAGTCTATGAAGTCTATGAAGTCTATGAAGTCTGTGAAGTCTGTGAAGTCTATGAGGTCTGTGAAGTCTCTGAAGTCTGTGAAGACTGCGAAGTCTATGAAGTCTATAAAGTCTGTGAAGTCTGTGAAGTCTGTGAAGTCTGTGAAGTCTGTGAAGTCTATGAAGTCTGTGAAGTCTATGAAGTCTATGAAGTCTGTGAAGTCTGTGAAGTCTGTGAAGTCTGTGAAGTCTGTGAAGTCTGTGAAGTCTATGAAGTCTGTGAAGTCTGTGAGTCTTGAAGTCTGTGAAGTCTGTGAGTGTGTGAAGTCCTATGAAGTCTGTGAAGTCTGTGAGTTCTATGAAGTCTGTGAAGTCCTGTTGCAGTCTTATGAAAGTCATAAGTCGTGAGTTCTATAATCCTATGAAAGTCTGTGAAGTCTGTGAAGTCATGAAGTCTATGAGTCCTGGGTGAAGTCTATGAATTCTGTGAAGTCTGTGAAGTCTATTAAGTCTGTGAAGTCTGTGAAGTCTATGAATCTATGAAGTCTGTGAAAGTCCTGTGAAGTCTATTAAGTCTATGAAGTCCTGTGAAGTCTGTGAAGTCCTAGAAGTCTGTGAAGTCTATGAAGTCTGTGAAGTCTGTGAAGTCTTACCTCTATGAAGTCTGTGAAGTCTGTGAAGTCTATGAAGTCTGTGAAGTCTGTGAAGTCTATGAAGTCTATGAAGTCTGTGAAGTCTGTGAAGTCTATGAAGTCTATGAAGTCTATGAGGTCTATGAAGTGTGTGAAGTCTATGAAGTCTATGAAGTCTGTGAAGTCTATGAAGTCTATGAAGTCTGTGAAGTCTATGAAGTCTGTGAAGTCTGTGAAGTCTGTGAAGTCTACGAAGTCTGTGAAGTCTGTGAAGTCTATGAAGTCTGTGAAGTCTGTGAAGTCTATGAAGTCTGTGAAGTCTGTGAAGTCTGTGAAGTCTGTGAAGTCTGTGAAGTCTGTGAAGTCTGTGAAGTCTGTGAAGTCTGTGAAGTCTGTGAAGTCTGTGAAGTCTATGAAGTCTGTGAAGTCTGTGAAGTCTATGAAGTCTGTGAAGTCTGTGAAGTCTATGAAGTCTGTGAAGTCTGTGAAGTCTATGAAGTCTATGAAGTCTATGAAGTCTGTGAAGTCTATGAAGTCTGTGAAGTCTGCGAAGTCTATGAAGTCTGTGAAGTCTGTGTGAAGTCTGACGTCTTTGAAGTCTGTGAAGTCTATGAAGTCTGTGAAGTCTGTGAAGTCTGTGAAGTCTGTGAAGTCTGTGAAGTCTACGAAGTCTGTGAAGTCTGTGAAGTCTATGAAGTCTGTGAAGTCTGTGAAGTCTATGAAGTCTGTGAAGTCTGTGAAGTCCTATCTATGGGGAGGGGAGTACTAGGAAGTCTGTGAAGTCTGTGAAGTCTATGAAGTCTGTGAAGTCTGTGAAGTCTATGAAGTCTGTGAAGTCTGTGAAGTCTATGAAGTCTGTGAAGTCTGTGAAGTCTATGAAGTCTATGAAGTCTATGAAGTCTGTGAAGTCTATGAAGTCTGTGAAGTCTGCGAAGTCTATGAAGTCTGTGAAGTCTGTGTGAAGTCTGACGTCTTTGAAGTCTGTGAAGTCTATGAAGTCTGTGAAGTCTGTGAAGTCTGTGAAGTCTGTGAAGTCTGTGAAGTCTACGAAGTCTGTGAAGTCTGTGAAGTCTATGAAGTCTGTGAAGTCTGTGAAGTCTATGAAGTCTGTGAAGTCTGTGAAGTCTGTGAAGTCTGTGAAGTCTATGAAGTCTGTGAAGTCTGTGAAGTCTATGAAGTCTGTGAAGTCTGTGAAGTCTATGAAGTCTATGAAGTCTGTGAAGTCTGTGAAGTCATTGAAGTC